GGTGGATGCGTGAGTAGCGTGCGTAGAGATGTGGCGGAAGTTGGCGGTGGGTTGTTGGTCGTTTTTTGCAATAGTATTCCGGATGGGTTGGGCATGGGTAATGGGTGTGTGCTGAGTTGGGGGTGATGAATGGCGCAGGTGTCGCCTTTGCCAGAGCTGATTGCAGAGCCGACGAGTGCACGGTCGATGTCTTTCGTGGGGACTCACGAGTACCTTGCACCCGAGATCATCAAAGGTGGGATATCATGTGGGATGGTGCCTGCGGGATAGAAGGGAGGTAGTCGTGGTTCGTGAGTTGGAAACGCGTTGCAGGTGGTTGGCGTGGTATGGGAAGTGGTTGGGGTGGTCTGACGATGTGGAGATTGGTGGTTTTGAGCAGGCGATGGTCACGGGAGTGCGGTGGACTGGTGGACGTTTGGAATCTTTCTGTACGAGTTATTGTTTGGGAAGACTCCGTTCAAGGGGTCTGGCAACCGAGCAACTCTGTTCAACGTAGTGGGACAGCCTCTGAAGTTCCCGGAGTCGGCGACAGGGCAGGTGAGCTTTGCGGCTCGAGATCTGATCCGTGGGCTCCTGGTGAAGGAACCCGTGCACCGGCTGGCGTCGAAGAGAGGAGCTGGCGAGATCAAGGCGCATCCATTCTTTGAAGGTAGTGCGGAAGGGGGTTGTGTGGTGGAGTGAGTGGGAGAGGTAGGTTGTTGTGGTGTTAGCGTGCGCAACGGGGTGTGGTGTTTGAGGGGCAGTGGTGGTCTGAGTCGATTGTTGTGGTGCGCGCAGGCGTGAACTGGGCGCTGATACGGTGTACAAGCCCTCCAGAGGTGCCCCGACCTTTCGAACCTGGTCCGTCGCTGAGCAGTTCAACGGTGTCAGACGACACGTCCGCGAGCAAAGGGGCAAAAGCTGTTGGCGGTGCAGATACCCCGGGCACAGCAGGCAATGCAGTAGCGGGGAACAGTGAGAGTAATGACAAGGCGTGCGAGAAGAAGAATAGCAAGGGATCAGGGACTGCTGGCGTGTCGACTCAATCGTCGGGAGGATCATACTTGGACTTGGACTTCTTTTAGCATGTGACGGAGGGATCGATGTGAGAGGAGCATTTTTCAATCCATGTGGATGCGGGCCGTGCATTTTGGTTCGCAATATGTATAATT